GCAGCAGGAGATCCAGCAGAGAGTTGGCAGACTCCTTAGCTGCCTGAGCCGGCCTGATCCAAACTCTGCAGAGTGTTCGAATTCTTAGAAGCATTTTACTGCAGAGGACCTCAGTCAGTCTAGGTACTACGCTGTTGCCCAATATGCTCAATGCAGAATGCGAGGTGCTGGAAGTCAGCTGGGCTACGCTGCTGCAGCCTTGGGAGCAGCTGAAGTTTTAGGCGCTGTCTGCATCACAATCATGCTTCAAGCCCGACCCCCCAAAGGCGTGACTGAATGTTTCGGCAGGAGCCAGGCATAATGCATGCTCAGGATTCCGGGATGTTTGGTGCCCGAAGTACATTAATTGGACAGGATCCTTCCTTTTTCCGCCCCAGGGCCGATAGAAGGACGGCTTGGGAAAGCAATCTCTGCATACTGGCTGTGGCAAGCCATGAGCTTGAACTCGAGTGTCCTTACGCAGGCCCAGTCCGATTGGCTCTCACAGTCACTGCGGCTCCCACAGCCTCCAGGTGTGGTGCCTTGCTGTGTTGTGCTCTGATTTGTCAGAGCCTTTTTGCAAAGCAGTTCGTTTTTGATGGTTTAGCACTTCCCAGCCAACGGCGTTTCGTAAATCGCGCACGACAGTCGCGCCGTCGGGGGCTTGGAAGCTCAAATCTGTGGCAGTTGGTGAGACATGCACATTTCTCGTAAAAGTGCTCGGGTGTGCTGAGTGCTGGGACACGAGACCTCTGTCGGCCACAATCAGCAGGCTAGCGCGGCAGTACGAGTGGTTCTGCAAGGCAGAGGAGATCATTGCATCACGGCTTGAATTCCGAACCTTTGGAGGGCCTAGAGCAGGCATCTCCTGGGACGACGATATTGTGAGATAGTGACGGCACTTGGGTTCGCTAGGCATTCGCAACGTGAGGCTGGTTTGTGAATCTTTCATAGCTGTCCCTCCTGCACTTGAGCATTGCGACCTTGTTCTAGCAGGTAGACATCACGGGTTTCTCCGCTGATTAACTAGTCGAGAAAGCAAAGCCAGAACGAGAGCGAACGAGAAGAGAGGCAGGAGTAGAGCATGAATGTTAATACGTGTTGCTGCATGTCCCGAGCAGACAAGAAAGAGCTGAAGCATAATTTATGCCGCCTTCAGCATCTGTGCAGCTCAGGTGGGCTACATCCGAGAGTTTGCAACGAAGGTGTCGCAGATTTTGATCAAAGCATGAGTCCGAGAGACTTGACTACTTGTAGGACATTCTGGTAGGACTAATGCGCCCACGTACAGGTGCATGCTACCGGCGCGGAGTTGCAATAGTCAAGCGCATTTAACTGCATACCGCATATCTCCTTTCGGCAGCCCACCAACTGACGGATTTCTCTCGTGCAGTGCATATAGTGCATTGTCCTCGGCCACCGAGAACGTTTGAGAAGCTCAAATCTCTCGGCAAGAATAGAAGGCCTCAAAATTGCAACTCGCGTACGCAACAATTTGCAAAAATCTTTTGTCTCACATCGCTGAAGGGCGCTCAGATCTGTAAATGTTGCCCACGTGCGTGGCCCAGCTGAGCCACGACTGGATGTTGGCCACATTCAACGCCCAAGATTTGCGCAGCAGGGTTCGGACATGCGGTCAGGGGGTGCAGAAGATTCAGCCGTTTTTCATGTCTACGTACATATTCAGAAGAAGGAGCACTGCAAATAACACTGCAGTGTCTTTGTTCTCATGGAGTGCAGAGTGCGCCCGTTGCTCGCGACAGTTCAGGCATTCATATTGGTAACAACCCGGCACAACAACTCGACAAAATGTGAGGACGGTGGAGATTCTGTAAGATTGCCGGGCAACGAGACCAAGAGAACATCTATCAAAAAGAAGGGTTGGTCGATCTTGTGAGTATGTAGATAAGGAGTATCCATAATTGATATGAAATGATCTTCAATATGGAATTGTTTTTATAAAATATAGAACTCCCCAAGATAGATAGCTTCGTCATTTTCATAGAAATATGAAAAGAATTGAAATATGATTCGACAAGTTCTATAGATTCAATTTTGGTATTTGATACTTCCACATTTCGGGATTATAGAAGAATAAAACCAAAGATAAATAAATATATATATATGGTAATTATTTCGAAAAGGATTTTCTGATTATTAGATATGATTATTGAAATTATCAAAAAATTTTAGTTCTATTAGTATGCTCGCTTGTTTCAAATTCGATATATATATATATATATATATTTTATGATCTCTCTCTTTCTTCTTCTCTGGAGGATCGGGGAGTTTTTAATAATGCTAGCTTCGTGGGAGTTCGTAGCTAATTTATCCATATTCTTTCTATGATTTGAAATTAATAATAGAAAGAGGGAGAAAATATTGAAAATAAGATATAAGAAGAGGAAGAGAAAAGAATAATGAGAAAGAGAAATAAAAGAGAAATTAAGAAATTTGATCGTTTATAAGGACGAAAATATGAAAAAATTCTTGTTGGATTTTGAGTGATCCGAGAGTGATATTTAATAATATTGAATAAAATTTTCTGATTTCTGGGGATTGATTTATTCTTATCGATGAGTTTCTTCTAATAATATCGAAAAATAAGAATCCGCATCTAGGCAAACCATTTATAAAAGATATTAAAAAATCAAAATGAAGAAAGAATATTTATTCAGCATGATGGGGAATCGTAAATTCTTATCCATTAAAAAAGGTGGGCGAAGAGATTCTAATAATAGAATTTGATATGGGCATTCTGATAAAGAAATAGACAATAAATTCGATAAAGAAATCGAAAATACATCTAATCTCATAAAAGATACGGAGAAATCCGAATCACCATCCATGAAAGAAATAGAATTCAAAATATAATCGTTGAAAATATATTTCGATTCGATTTATTTAGAAAATTGATATTATGAATACTTGATAGTCGAGAGAGAGTCAATACTAGTTTCTATAACATTTATTTCTACGGTAATTTATTTGCCGAATGCGAGTATAATATGAGAATAAAAGATATACGAATATGGAAACGATTCAAGGATGATGCTAAGAAAAAGATTATAGGATAATACCGTTAGGATGAAAGATTTAACCAATAGTAGAAATATTGGAATATATTTATGATTTGTTCAAATAGAAAAAGTAATTCTAGATATAATCTTCATTATTAAAGCAACCAACAGACCGATTGACGGGGCCACGTTATATTGAAGGAAAAACTGGAGATATCGAGATTCATGAGGATATCGAGATTGGGGATTTAAGAGATTGGAGATGATGAGGTTAGGGGGAAAGCTGGAGATATCGAGATTGGGGATTTGAGAGGTTGGAGATATCGAGATTCAGAGTTGAGAGCGATAATTATATTCAGTCAAATTAGGAAAATTTTCCTGGATTATATATTTATTTCGTATTACCTCGGGGGGAGAACGAGAATTATGATGATTATCAATTATCAATATGGGGGTAATTTTTCTATATTGTATGTTTGCTTCTGCTTATCTCGTTGGTTGAGAGCGATAATTAAAATCAATAATATTCTTCTTTTCCCTCTGTAGTATGGGTTTGAGACTGGAGTTGGAATCGTCGAAATTCAGGTTTGAGAGATCGGAGTTTTGGAAATTAAGGCTTGGGAGGTTGGATTTGTCGATGCTGAGATTTTCAACGAGGCTACGAGGGCGGGATATCATCGTCGGCAAGCTTTCAAGGCAGCATGCATCACCATCTACCTATACCATCAGCACCATAAGCCACAGAAGAGAAAAGAAAGAAAGATCCCAGAGGGGCTGACCTTTCACTGCTTATTCCTTCATATTTCTCTTTAAAACCGGTTCTGCTTTTATGAAGAAGCGCAGAGCGGCATAGCCGTTCAAATGCATTCGAGATGAGGGCTGAGGGTTGCGCTTTCCATGCGCCGAAATTTGATATAAAGCCGTCGGAGCTTTCCTTAGGCTCAAAACCTTTTAACCCGACCTAATTTCACCCGAAATCCTAAACCGCGCGCAAACCCTAAGTCCTAAACTCTATACACCCTAAATAAAATCTTAGCTCCAAATCAAGGACGTCCGCTTTTGGAGTAAGCGTTCTCATTCTCATATTCTGCAAGCCGCGAAAGCGCAGCCATGAACGATTGAAAATTAGGTTCTGATACGGCATCCTCCGCGCAAGATCGGAATAAACACGCGCAAGACAGCGCGTAAGGTAGCCTGCCCAAGATCATGGAGGACCCAGCATGGAGGACCAGGAGCTATTGACAACATTCGGGCGCTGGGTTGCGCAGGGCAAGCCTACCGGGACGAAATGGAAACCAGGCACGGCCTCGGCTGCTGCTGATGTTACGAAGCTTACAGCTGCTCAACGACGTGATCTGTAAAATGCTATGCGGGATCAGATCGTGAAAATACTCGGCCAAGACCCAGAGCAAGAGACTTTGAGAAGGTTGGAAAATGGAATCAAATCGATATAGATAGAGAAGTGGTTATAAGATACGGCCATCGTATTCTTCAGGCAGCTCAGCTTCCAAGCCCAGGATTCTTTTTCGCCGCTTGCAGATGCCTGGCGGAGAGATATCTTAAATGTAGGTGCAGCAGAGTTCTTCCAGGTCCCGTTCCTTGCAGAGTCACAGGCACGGGACCGTCCAAGCAGTTCATAGTCCTTAGCAGCGCAGCCGCCTAAGGACTCGAAAGTATCATGCCGGCGCAAAGTTTTGGCAGATATGAAGACAAAGATAGTCAATGCTGCTATGAGAGAGATGTCCGCGGCAGCGTCGCGGTTTTGACCACTTCTAGAGCAGAGAAGTATGCTACTATGCCCATATTATGAAAGCGATTGGATGAATACTTTACTTTGGTGAGGAATCAATATTTGCTCCGGAGGGCGTTCATCGACTGGTCAAGGCGTTTCGAAGCCTGCGCGAGCGAATGGCTATATCTGGCGACTATACGAGACTCAAAAGCTAGGATGAGGACTTGTGTGAGCAAGCAAAAAAGAATTTCTATTGGGCTATATAAAAA